TTTCGTCAGTGTATTGATTTTAGAAATAGTTAAACGAATTGACGATCTTATCTGTAACGAGGTCGTTTATCGGCCGCAGTGATATTTTCTTAACTCATCTCTTTCCCCTTTGAATTCTATTAAAGAAACTTTGGAAGTTATTTAAGAATAACACAAAGCAAATGATATTTTACCCTGTATTTAAGCTAATCTCTGGTTTTCGTGAAATAAATAACGAAATATGGTCTTTTACAGGATCATTTGCAGATGTTTCGGCCTGGCGGTGCCGTGGGTGAGTCAATTCTCGCATTTGCATGGCTTGTAAATATATATATATATATAGATAATTTATTTACCATGTACTTCGTATCGCGACTGGAATTTCGCGCGTAGCGATGGACGCCATTACGGCAGTTGCATTGAAATAGGCAGCCTCTCGATGGCAGCGACGTAATTATAATTACTGGTTTTCACTCGATTTTTTTTACGAGATTATTTATAAGTTGAAATTGTAAATTTGTTAAAAACCTACTCTATATGGAGATAGATATTGTTATTAAATTGGGCCCGTCGCGATTACGAGTTACATAAAATTTTTACGAAGTCCGCCGCAGGCTCGCATTATCAGGCTCCTATTTTCGGTACGGTCCGCGTTTCGAATAATCGAAAACCGAGCTAACGAGAAATCGATACGACGCGATACCACTTATCCCTGTGACGAAATTCGCGAGCTCCAGCCGCGGATTAACCCTTCCGACGTTTTCCGCGCGGAGACGATATTCTTGAAAGAGTGTATTGTCTCGTCTCGATTTTGCACTTGACATACATGTCATTTTATACAAGTGTTATCTGGTCTCCGCGACTCTAATAAGGTACGAAGAGAAGACGGGTGGGAGATGAAATATAAAGTTATTATTTTGAAATTCCTTGGTCAATGAATGTGTCAGCTTAATAAAACTGACGCGGTAATTAGACATCGATACGCTATAAATTTACGATGAACTGGGATGCGCGGATGTGGCGTTTGTACGCGCAGATTTTAATTCGGAGGGACGGAGAGTTGATTCGCGCTCGTGAAAAACGCGAATCGCTCGCGCGGGGCCGGGCAATAACGGTAATCCTTTGATCTTTCAATTCCGCTGGCGCCTTATCAGCGGCGAGATGAACCGAGAAAACGGGAAAGAGATGGCGGTCGGATTACTCTGGGGAGAGGAGACGGTAAGGATATTTCTCCGCGCGTCGCGGGATACGCGGCGCGTGACGTTAATTCGGCTTTCGAGCTATTATCCGCGCTACGACTGCGCGCGCGGGCGCCGAAACGCGCTCCGCGACAACGTCGTAATGTCACCCCGTGCATTTGTAATCTCAATCTCGCGATCGTAACGCCGGCTGCGGATGTTTATGGGGACTCGCGTACTTTGAGACTGAGGCATTTGTTACGAGGGTAGGAGTCATTTCCGCGGGGTGATTGGGCGTCTCCTCGAGACGAGGTGCACGAAATTACAGCCGCAATAAAATATTTATCACATTACCGATAAGACGAGTTAAAACGAGCGTGCTGCTAGTAAAGGCTAAAATGAAAATTAATGACGCTAATAATATGGAACTTAAAAATACGCACTGCTGTTTATTCTTGTATTGCGTATTTAAATATGTATGTACGTTGCACACCAAGTTCTATTTTGTATTCACGGCACTAGGGAGAATTTGATACAAGTATGAAGAGAGTATCGATCTTACCTATTTGGCAAATTATGTATTAGAAATTCATTTGTGAGGTGCTTATTTTTATTCCTCGAATAAGAATTTAATAACAGTTAAAGTTATCTACGATTTAGTTGGCATTAAAGTGTCTACACGTACTTTCGATTCAGCGCCTTTTGTGCCATTATAATTCGTTATGTGAATTTAATTTTTATAAAAGTACGATCGTAATACAAGATAATTAAAATATATCGTAAAAGCTTTACGATTTTTCACGTATTTATTCACGAATTTTAAGGTTTCTCGGCAATAAAATCTTTTTCGGCCGCATATACGTGTACGTTATGAGGACTTGCAAACGTTTAAAGGATTTATCTAAAATCCCCGAACGTTCTTAGAAAGCTCGTAATTCATTTTATTCGCGTTACCAGTGCTCGGTCGAACTCAAAGAACCATCTCGGAGTGTGGTCGGCAAACTAGTCAGACAGTAAGAATCAATGCTCGTAAATTCGGATGGTTTATCGCGGTGAATGGTTGGTCATAATTCACGCTGGCCTAAGTCGCTGGGTTGGAGTGACGTAACGCGATGTCCTATCGTACTGCCTTTTTCCGGGAATATCGAGTCATAGCACGATGACGTATAGTGATAGCGAATAAATTTTGGCAGGGTGGCACTTAAAAGTGATTAATAACGACTCGTCGTCGAGTGTAAACTTGAAATCGGAATTCAAGTTTCACCGTAACGAGAACCGCGAATTAATTAAATTGTTACTAATACCGTTTTTAATTAGTGCAAAACCTCAAATGCGTAACAATATGAAAGCGAACAATCTGTTGCTGTCGATCGATGGGGTTTTCGTGAGCTCTATCATAAAATGTAACGTAATAGCGGGTTGAAAGTCTCGTCAGGTACGGAGGATCAATGGATAAGAAGTTGGAAAGGGATCGGGCGCTCGGACGGGCTATCCTGCCTCGAAATTATTTGGTCCGGTTTGCTTTTGTTGTTCTATCGCAACTATATACGGGCGTTTTAGCAAAGCGAGCAGATACACACACTGGCCAAGTCGGCCAAGTCGCTGAATGTGGTCATGTATATACCTGCGGCGGAACGGTTGGTGTGGCTCCTAGGAGTTAATTCATGCCTCCTGCGCTGGACCAGCTGGCGGGATAGGTCGCTCTTTGTAACAATCCCGACGTTTTCCAGCAACACCCGGCCACGGCATAAGGTTAATGGAAATTTCTAAGAGCGAACTATCGGCCCGTCGAAACACGATGGTGCTTTTCAATAAATGAACAGCACCTTTGTGCCTCACGGAGCGCCCATTAATATGTCATCGTTTCATTCGCGTAATCGCGTGTTCAATAGTAAATTCGTCTTCGGATTGCGGCCTGAATAGAGATTGGCTTTTTACCGGAGTTTGCTCTTGCGAGCTTTTAAGAAAAATTAGCGAGAATTTTACGAAGCTACATGTACCCGATCAATATGAATCTAATGAACGGGATTGCGATTTTATCACTACATATAATTATTGGGACAAATGATGAATTCTAACGGATTCGATTTTCGACCAAGATAAGAAAGGAAGACATTTCTACGGATTGGAGAATCGGTAACCCGAGTGACGCCACTAACGTAGTTATTCTAAAGTTTTTCGAGCATTGGTTTCACGTATACATATACGTTTGAGATACGAAGAAACCAATCTTTTTCGCAAATCCCTTCGTATCCTTCGGGCAGATTTTAAATATAGAAATAGGAGTTTGGTGCAACGGATGGGGTCGGATGGTTTCTCAGAAACGGACGAGGTAATTAATAGGGGGATGTGTTAGATCGCGAACGCGTTCGAAAAAAAGAACTTAATTGGAAGAGGTTTTACGGAAGGTAGTATTTGAAAAGATAGCTTCTCCGCCTTTTGCGCGATTTAACGCACAAACGCGTGGAATTTGACATGTAAGTTACCATTTCTACGTATATCGTGAAGAGATAATTGTCTCAACTGACAGGCTGACCACCTTGAAATCGTCGAAATGGATTTTGCAACTAAAATCACGCAACGCTGGATCTGTTATTGAATGTTTCGTGTTCCCAGGATAGGCCCTAAACGATAATGACAATTTGAACGTCAGAAATAAATCATATCTTTAAACTAACATATCATTCAGTGATGTTAAAAACGACAAATGGAAGTATCGAGATTGTCAATGGTTTATTAACTTGTTTTATTCAAGTTGATATTTTATTATCAATTTATTTGTGAAAATGTATTATTTGTCCACGTGTCTTGATACTTTTTTGATTGATTAAACGGAATATATTTTTTTTATCTAATTAAAGGGGAGGGGAATAGAGAGGAACAGAGCAGAGAAAGAAAGATCTTTAATTATCTCGGTTAATATATGTAAAATGATAGAAAGTATGTAAGCTTACGTTTGAAAAATAAGTTCTGCGTATAAAACTCATCACGGAGGAATATATTGTAGATTATATTAACGATTGAAATAACAATACGTTACTGTATCAGTTTTATGCCAAAAAGGTAATATCTCCTTTCAATTTAATTAAAAAATGAGTAATGGCTTTTGGTAATCAGTGGTTTCCGTGGATTTTCCACTTTCCTAATGCTTAAATTAAAACCAACCCTCTGTCACATCAAGGATCGGTCAGAGCCTGGTAATCCGTAAAAATAGCGAGAATCATATTGAATAATCCATCATTTTGACATGTCGGACCGCAGGCCTGAAATATGACACATTTTACCCCGTAGTAATTTTCTTTATTTTTTTGCGTCGAACATTATTCTCGAGATTATTCTTAAGAAAAGATGCTTTGGCTTTCGAGAACGCTAGAATTTTTTCAATTAGATTCTTTTTCGACATTTTTTGTTACACGTGAAAATCGCGTTCGTAGCCAAATTATTTCGTCTTAATTCTGTCGATCGTGTCCGCCGATCAGACAGTCCTGTGACAGAAATCCCATTAGAAATTACCTAACGCGGAGCAGTACGTGGCTGTCGAATCTACCGCGGCGCCAGCTGAGAGACGTCTTATCAAACATGCAGGGGCGAGGTGGAATTTTCTACCGAACGACAACGGGTTTCACCGAAACAGAGGGAGAGAGAGAGACCTTTCGGTGGAGGGAAGGCGAGGGAGGGGGTGAGAGATTATCGAGTCTCTCACGGAAACGAGACCGTCCGTCGGGGATCGCGAAAATCCCTTGCGCGAGATTTGTCATCCTTTATACGACCACCGGCGCGCTCGTGTCAAAGGAGTGACGCACACGGGAAGCTTTGTCAGAAATACGGGGACCCTCCACTTACCTATCTACGGTACCCCTACATACACGCATATTATCCGGCTGTTTGCATAGGTATATGGCCATAGTCGTCGTTCTGGAGATGGTGGCAATATTTGCGCGGTCCTGACAGGAAGACAATGAGACTCGACCCGACACGCGATATACAACCATCCTCTCCTGGTTCTCCCCAATGTCTCTTCTTCTATCTCTCTGTTTCTCACTCTCTCTCTCTCTCTCTCTATCCCTATCTTGTCCATTCTCTCTCTCATCCGCCCCTCAACCTCTGCCATCCTCTCCATTATGTAGCCTCCACGCTTAGACGTATCTAGTTGGAGAAAAATAGAGCCACGAACGTGTCCGACAGTAATCCTGAATTTTAAATTAATCCTACGATCTTCCAAAATTAAAGTGCGCTTTGCTGTTATTTTGCATATCCACTGAGATCACGGTGCCGTGGCTGCTTTGTTCAGTGTCTTATCTTGAAACGATCTTATCTCTCTCTCACAGACACAGTGGTAGAAACTGTCGCCCGTATATTATATATTTATCAATTTATTTTTTAAAAATAGGTACGTACAATTAGATTGAATAATTTATACTCGAGATACTTACAACTTGTTAAGTGTATGGTACAATTTACATTTCGCTTACTGTTGAGAGAAATTGATTTTAAACGCGTTACTAAGGCATCGTGAAATTGAGAATTGTTTTTCTCCGGGTTGCTTGGTAAGCCGTAGGAAATTAAATTACGTTATTTATAGACATTAAGCATTTATTTATACCTACATACATGCATCATACAGCACATTCTATTAAATTAATATCACGCTAGGCCGCTCTTATATATTCATAAGTGACAATTACATTTTATTATGATTTATCGGATTTATTAAAGCAAATTAATGCAGTTCAATTTAACTCCATTAAATTCGTAATGCCATTTGCATATCGTTTGTTATTTTCATCAAATGAGAACGTATCGTAAAATAACGTACACGTTCGCACGTGTTACAATTATTACACAGCCTTACAAAAGGCGCGCGTATTTTGGACCGAATTTCACGGCTAATTCAAGGCCGTTGCTCTCGCCTCCTAATCGCAAAGTATCCTGACAGCCTCGACACGGTCTCACTGGGAAAAGGGAGGGTGGATGGGGGGAGGTGGATCGCGGAAGAAAAAGGTCATCTGTGAAAAATTTCCACCGCAATAGGGTGTAACCTCCGGGGATAAGTAGCTGTCGCTTCCGTTGCCGTGCTTCCGCGTCGTTTCTAGGAAAACCCGCAGCTTTCACGGCTTTCGGACAAATTGTGAGGAGAATGATGTATCGGCAAGCGGGTCGACGCGAGGGAGGGAAACGTTGAAGGACCTCCCGGCGTGTTTCTTCGAGTTTGTTACATCCGTCTGGAGAACTACTCGGCCCACCGTGATGTCTGCCCGCACAACCGCCCATTACGTTCCATTGTATTCCCATTGTAGAAAGTCCCATTTCTTTCTAAAAAGAGGAGAGCCATCCCCGAACCGGCTACAATTACATTTTCACATCCCAGGTTTTGGACAAGTCGACCCTGCCGCGCTCGAAAACACTGTCAGGGAGAAAGATTTCTCGCTGATTGGCGCGGCCGCGTTTTATCTTCACGAGCATCTGCTGCGTGCGGCGCCGGGCCTAAAGTTTGGCGCGAGTCATCTCGCCGCCGGATTAATTTTAGCTCCTCCGATAAGGACACCGGTTGCGTCAGGCAGAGGAAGGTGTGAAAGAGCGGCAGGTAGAGGAATGAGGGATTCGTAGGGTTGGACCATTTCGATCGTATAACTTTGATACGGGATTGATAGCGTGTTGCCTGTGTGTGTTTTTTTTCTCGTTTTAAGCGTCTCTCTGTCCCTCGATTTTTATAGCTTTTTTTATGCGATTCCGTTACTTTGCGTTAATGTTACGCGTGGTGAGCTGAATTATACTTTTCGTCGTACATCGTTGATGTACATTAACCTGCCTTTCGATAGTAACTAATTGTCAATTAATTTCCCATTATAATGTACCGTCATTAACCATTATAATACTCCAAAATCCGCTATCGCGATTCGTATTTCATACTAAATGTGCCTGTCTCCGATTTTGAAATACATACGGTTAATATACCGGACGTGGTATTCGATATTATTCCGCGCCGGGATTGATACGATCGGATTTGACGCTAAACGCGGGATATGAAGACGAGCGTAAAACAAGCGTGACGCGACATTAACGTGAAACACATTCCGACATTACATCTATGACACGCCATCCTTCGAAGTGCACCTTCTCCGGCGCGTTAGTTTCACCATAATTTGAAGCGGCCGACAGGTCGGAATGTTTATACCCCGTGGATACTTTACCCGTCCACCGCTCTGTGGCCTAAGCCCGTGATATATAACGGGCAGAGTTGACTAATCCCTTTCGCCCCTTGCGGTCATGGCGCGGTGTACGGAATATAAGTGGCCCTTCGTCTCCTCCGAGATATATTTCAGAATTATACTGCCGCAATCACTTGCCAGTTACGAAAGAGCGCGCGAGAGAGAGAGAACGCGAGTTCCTTTTTTTCGTCTTTTTAATTTTTGACAACTTACATTTTATATGGCAGTTGAATTCTTACATCCTTTTTACCGAGATTCCCGCGCATTACAAGTATAAAAGCGAATGATATATTATCGGGGAATCTACCGTACGCAGAAGCGTCGCTATCCTTCCAGTTGTGGAGGAACGAACTAAGAATAATGGCGGTTACTAAAATTTAATGTTGGCGTATGAAAAGTTGTAATGAAAGACAGCCAATCATATTATCGCACAAAGGGCAGACTTGGCATTGATAAAAGAACGTATAAATAGGAAGATTAGCAGTCGCGCACTTGAAGATTTCAAGTATAAGTAATTCTTATATGGATGGATCGTTTAATCCTTTTTTTTCCAAGCAATTAATTAAGGCTATATTTTAACGGAGATTTTCTACTAATTTTTGTTAAATATTTATTTGTGCTACATTTGAAAGTGCAACAATCGTCACTCCTTCGTTTTCTTACGATAGAAAAACAGACTCTGCTCCTGATTAATTTTCTTCAAACTTTTGATTCGAGTCGTCAGTCATGTACATTTATAACGCGCCCTTTGTTATTTAAAGAGCAGCAAGTATCCACGCGATGTAGCGAGCAGACGACGTCAATTGTGAGGGAACCTTTCTGGAAATTAAACTCGTTGGAAATCTAATTCCGAGTAATCAAGCTTTCGCCACATTTCACTCGTGCCGTAGTCGTCTGACTTCGCCCGCGCTCGCCACCTTTTGCGGAAATGAACGTACGCGCGTAATCTCATAAAAACACAAATGACATAAAGAGATTCTTGCGCAAATTTTAGAAATACATTCCACGGCGGTTTGAGAAGCCGCGCTCGCCGCCAGCCGGCGGTCTCGTTTCGACAATCGAATTTTACGATTAGCACTGCAGTCTTTTAACGAAACGCACAGCTGGTATCTCCCGTTGATTTACACACGTGTTGTGCATAATACGTATTTTTAATGATCACTATGCTTCAAAATATATTAGCTGCGCGTGTGCAGTCGTACATTAAGAACTGCTTTTTGAAGGACTTAAAATTCTGTATGTAGACTTCATCGAGACAGGATTAAGATGTACGCTCTAATTAATTGAAACGCGATCAAGACTACAACGTCCAGCCGAAATTAATTGTAATTAATTGAACGCACATAGTCTTGATATAATTATATCAGTTTATTTATAACTAGAGGAATTTTTATGTGATTAAAGGACCAGCGTGTCTTAATTTTTTTCTCATTCCAATTAGGCCCATAAAAGACGGATGATAACAAGTGGCCGAATATCGAAGCATGTTTTATAAAGCCATTATTCGAGCTTAAGTGAATACATAAACAGCGGCTATTCATCAAACTGTCCTTTAGTCTGCCCGTGTCTTGCCCTTGTAAGGTACGAGCGACGCGGTTACATGACTAATAAATAAGACGTACGCGAGCTGAACGATTTCAGCCGGCCGCTCGCCGGCGAGCCTTAATATTATGCGATACATGTTACGATATTTCGCTACAAGGGCGCATTTTGCCGAACGCGGTTGTCGTATATAAACGATGCAATTTTGTGGTCGCACATGTTGAACAAAATGAATAAATACATGCTGTCAGGACGAATATTCTTATACAATCATTACATTTTGGACGGACGATAGTATAGGTATCGCGTTTGAGAAACGTTGAGTAAACAGTTGATCTGACTGGAGTAACAATTAACCAATTCCATGGAATATGATGTCCGGTACGGTATATTGAGTTTTTGCATTTTGTGAAATTATGATTCGTTGATGTGTAGTTTTCAACATTTTTCCTCGCTGTTTGAAAATATATCCATAAATTAAAATTCATTTATTTCACGTTTTGTATTTTGTAATAACATTTAGAAAAGCGAGAACAAACGTTGACGCGCTATACGTATAAGTCGAGTTTTTACATCGGTTAAGTTTTTTTATACCTGCATGGCAAATTTCGGACGCGAAATTATACGGGGATTAATAAGGGGCAAAAAGAAAAGAATAGAATTCCTAGTAAACGAATCCTGGGAGGCCCGAGTGAGATCGCTCATCCATCCAAAAAGTACGACGATCGAGGTCACGAAATCAAGTGCGGTTTTAAACGTAAGGCACCCGACACGCGCAGTAAATCATAGCCGCGTTACGGAATCGTCTCTCGGCTGCGAAGCGTCTCCAGATGACGCGGGGACGAAGATTCTGGCGGAATGATCGGGGCAAGGAAAAAGAAGAGGGAGAAGAAAGATCGGGATGACTCTCGTCCTCCTGACGAGAAACACTGTCGACGGGCGGGCGAGGGGCCGCGGCAGATTTCGAGGCACAATAATTTGAACGGCGGTCATATTTCACTAAGGCGGCCGTGAGTTATGGCAGTCGTGGCTGACGCAAATGATTTAGGTTTAATAACGACGAGCCGTCCGGCCCAGGTCAGCTGGGCATTGTGAGTGAGACGACGGGGCCTCCTCTCCCCTTTCTTCTCTTTCTCCTCGATGTCTTCTGCTCTCGAGTTGATCTCGTGTTTGTGTATGATATTAACGGGGAAGGTAAAGGTGTGCGATAACGGAGAAAATTCGCCCGATTACCGTTCCAGCTTGTGACTTTGGGAATGCAATCAATAATTATAGAAGGGTTATAGAAAAATGAGAGATTGAGAGACGGAGATTATTTCACGTTTGTTTCTAGATTTTTCCAAAATTGTCAAATATCACGCGTCGTAGCGAAATATTATTATTGCATTTGTTGCATATTTTGTATTTCCCTTATATTTATTTTTTAGCGAGTAATATTTTTCTATGTTACTTTCAT